GTCACTGTGTGACTGACCCCCCGACAGTGCGGCCCCGTCACTGTGTGACTGACCCCTCAACAGTGCGGCCCTGTCACTGTGTCACTGACCCCTCGACGCAGAAGCCTTTATGTTGACCACAGTATCCCAGCATGCCATCTGATGTTTTGCCTGGGAGGAGGACAGGGACAAGGCTAATCTTTCCAGATCTTGGCAGATTAATCGGGGAGTTAGCGAGGATGAGAGTACACGAGATTCAGATCTTTATCTTTTGTCAGGCCAGAGCGAAATGGCCAGAGAGGAACTATTTACAGTCAGATCCAATGACAAAACTATTCTTTTTTTCCACGCTCTCTCTCCCCTGACCGGAAGGCGAGTTCTTCCAAACGTTCAGTCCTTCTCAAATTCCTTCTCCTCCCTGCTGGAAAGCCAAATTATAATCCAGATTACACAGCGTGGCCACATGCTCAAGGCACATCAACTAAGGGAGCCCTCGTAAAGTGGCCTGCCATGGGTGCTGCTGAGCCTGGAGGATGTATCGAGGTCTGGGAGTTCTGGGGAAAGCGAGGGGGTGTGTGGGTGGGTGGGTTGGGGTAGGGGTTGGGGGGTTGGTGATTGGTGGTGAGGGAGCTATTCGACTGTTGGGGGGCATCGCCGATGGCGGAATTTCCCACCGCTGTCCCGTTCCTCCCACTCTGCGGGACAGGCCCTGGGCTGTTTGACTGGGAGAGGAGGCGCGAAGACCTCCAGAGCCCTAAACTCGCTCTCTGTGTTCCTCAGGACAGCCAGACCCCACTGATGTTCACCGCCCGGTTCGGGCACCCCAGCACCTGCCAGTTGCTGCTGGAGCGAGGGGCCACCGTCGATGTCACCGACGCGAAACGCAGGTATGGGCGACAGGCGGGTAGAGAGCTGCATTGCCATAGCGCCCTCTACTCTTTTAAACTTAAGCTCCCTCTACACTGTTTCCCCCCCCACCAACCATTAAATACTCCCATGGGAAGAGACAGCAGAAGGTTAGACAGAGACTAAAGCTCCCTCTACACTGTCGCCCCCCCCACTCCCCGATCAAACGCTCCCAGGACAAGGACAGCATGGGGTTAGATACAGAGTGAAGCTTCCTCTACACTGTTCCCCACATCAAACACTCCCAGGTACAGGGATAGCACAGGGTGAGGTACAGGGATAGCACAGGGTGAGATACAGAGTAAAGCTCCCTCTACACTGTTCCCCCCATTAAACACTCCCAGGACAGCACGGGGTTAGATACAGAGTAAAGCTCTCTCTACACTGTCCCAAATCAAACACTCCCAGGTGCAGGGACAGCATGGGGTTAGATACAGAGTAAAGCTCTCTCTACACTGTCCCCTATCAAACACTCCCAGGTACAGGGACAGCACGGGGTTAGATACAGAGTAAAGCTCACTCTACACTGTTCCCCCCATTAAACACTCCCAGGGCAGCACCGGGTTAGATACAGAGTAAAGCTCTCTCTACACTGTCCCCCATCAAACACTCCCAGGGACAGGGGACAGCACGGGGTTAGATACGGAGTAAAGCTTCCTCTACACTGTCCCCCATCAAACACTCCCAGGGACAGGGGACAGCACGGGGTTAGATACAGAGTAAAGCTCGCTCTACACTGTTCCCCCCCATTAAACATTCCCAGGATAGAATGGGGTTAGATACAGAGTAAAACATGGCAGGCGCAGTGGGTGGTGCCACACGAATGCAATGCGTTGTCAGTGAACGGAGCAGAAATGAAACTCTCTCTCTCTCTCTCTCTCTCTCTCCCCCCCACTCCCTCCCAAGGACGGCGCTGATCCTGGCCTGTGAGAGCGACAGCCCAGAGGTGGCCGAGATCCTGCTGAGGGCCGGGGCGGACCCAGGACCGATGGACGCCACTGGGCGCGATGCCCACCACTACGCCCTGCACTCTCGGAGCGGGCGTCTGCGGGTTCTCCTGCCCCTGGTGGCCAACAATGCCGCCACCACAGGTCAATAACCCTTCCCATCGCACTTCCCCCCAACCCCGGGGCTCCCCTGTGGCTGAGGGCGGGTTTCAGGGGTGTGTTTGGAGACGTCACCGTGGGTGGGGTGCCCGTACGTAGTGAGGGAGTTGGCATCTACGCCAAGGCTGGGTTCTTTCACCAAAAACCAGGCAGGCTCCAAGCCTCTGCCAATGGGTTTGAGGTCTGGGGGTGGTGGGTAGGAGGGACGGTTGGGAAGGTGGGCCAGAAATTGGGCTGAAAAGTGTCCAAGCAACGCTACGCGCCACGCAAGTGCCAGGCAACGACCATCTCCAACAGGGGAGAATCTAACCATCGCCCCCCACCCCTTTGACATTCAATGGCGTTACCATCACTAAATCCCCCCACTATCAACATCCTGGGGGTTACCATTGAGACAGAATCTAACCATTGCCCATCCCCTTGACGTTCAATGACAGTTTCCACTCATATTTTCTCCTTGAGACGTCCTCCACCAGCTGTGAGGCCTTCGGTTGCTGAGCAGCTCTCCGGAAACCCACCACACGTGTAGCCGTGAGCTGTGAAGCCAGCCGCAGTTGAATGATGGGTGGGGGTGGGCCGGGGTTGGAGTGGCAGGGAGGGTGTTGCGTTGGAGAGTTAGGTGAGCCAACACACAAACGAAAAGGTTAGGGCTCAGGGAGGCCGGAATCACAGACAGACGGAGGAACCCTATCGCCACAACAACTTGCATTTACGTAGCACCTTCCGTGTGGCGAAGACTCCACTCCGCAGGGGCACCGTCAGATCGCAGTTGACACTGACGGCCCTGAAGGGGACTGCAGGGACAAGCCAATGTCATCTCAGACTCTGAGGAGCATCTTACGGAAGGGGGGAAAGAGACAGAGAGAGAGACAGAGAGAGAGAGAGAGACAGAGAGAGAGAGAGATAGACAGAGACAGAGAGAGAATAGAGAAACAGAGAGAGACAGACAGACAGACAGAGAGAGAGAGAACAGAGAGACAGAGAGAGAAGAGACAGACAGAAAGAGAGAGAGACAGACAGACAGAGAGACAGACACAGAGAGAGAGACACAGAGAGAGGGACAGGGAGGGAGAGACAGGGAGGGAGAGAAGGGGAGGGAGAGAGAGAGAGACAGACAGAGAGACACACAGACAGAGAGAGAGACAGACAGAGAGAGAGAGAGAGAGAGAAGAGTCTGGGAAGGAGTTACTGAGCTCAGAGCCGCACCCCCCCTCCCTTCCAGGCTGCTGAAGGAATGGCCGATATTGGTGGAGCGATAGAAACTGGGGGATGCTTGGGAGGCCTGGATTGGAGAAGCGCAGAGATCTCAGAGGGTGTATACGGGGCTGGCGGAGGTGACAGAGATAGGGAGGGGGTGTAGGGGGCTGCAGAAGGTGACAGAGATAGGGAGGGGGTGTAGGGGGCTGGAGGAGGTGACA